AAAAAAAAGTACTCAACTGTTTTAAATATTGATAATCAGCAAAGCATCATATTAGAATGATTTCTGAAGGATCATGTGACATTGAAGACTGGTGTAATGATGCTGAAAATTCAGCTTTGATCAAGGAATAAATTACACTTTAAAATATTTCCAAATAGAAAGCAGTTATTTTAAACAGTAAAAAATCTTTCAAAATTTTACTGTTTTTGCTGTATTTTGGCTCAAATAAATGCAGGCTTGGTGAGCAGAAGAGTATTCTTTAAAAAAACATAAAAAATCTTGACTGTGTATATATAGGAATTTATGAAGTGATTCATTTGAATTCTTACAAAAAAAAAAAGTTCTTAAAAAAAAAAAAAATCTTACTGTTAAAAAGCCTTTGACTGGTAGTGTAGACTGATTATTCTTATAATTTGAAACAAATGTGCTTCAGCCAGGATAAAGAGTATGAAAAGTGCTCTGAGTTGCTGCAGAAAACGAAACAATTTAGCAACAACAGAAACATGTTGCTGGAGACGGGCTTATTATTGAAAATGCAAACTGATTGTGTGCCAGCAGGAGGCGCTTTGAGAGCGGTAGAACTAGTGGTTTCCCTGGTAACGGCTGTAATCAAAGCAGCTCCGCTCATGAACGCTACTTTATCAGATAAAATAAAAATGCCATCAAACCTTTTCTGAAGACAGTCGGTTCCCTTCAGAGATACATTCATTTAAAACACCCGCGCCGTGTTATGATTTTGAAACGTGCAGTGCTCATGTTTATTCAACAAGTCAAACGCCACAAATAAAACAATGTATGGGAAACACTGGTAATGTATATCGAAATATCGGAAATGTGTTTAAAAATCATATCACCGTTATTGAAAAAAAAAAAATATCACGATACATATTGATATTGAATTATTGTCCAGCCCTAATGTCTACATTAATAATATAAATTCAACACAAATACCCACATTTCTGACACAATACCATGGTGCAGTTAGTGCTACTACAGTAAATCTATGGTAAATGATGGCAATTTGTAGATTAAAAAGTCTTCTAACTGTATTGCTGCGCAGTGTTTCTCCTGTTTGTCAGCGCTGTTTCATCTGGCTGTAAACAGAGTTATTTGTGTTCTTCACTGAATGCAAGCACTTCACACTGGACCTCACAGCACCGTTTGATCAAGACTCATCAGCGAGTAACGCATCTGCTCTAGTGAAGCTCGCGCCACCGTTTAAACTTTGATCCGAGCGGATAAACGATCCGAGTGACGCGCTTCAAATGAGTTGCACTCTTTCGTTCCGCCTTTGCCTCATAAACATTATATCGAAAATGTATCGACCTCTTGTTATCGTTTATCGAGGAAATTTATACCGCGCAATAATTATCGTTATTGATTTATCGCCCAGCCCTAATTTGCATTCATGTAGTTGTGTGGGAGTTCAGGTACCTGCTCAGCATGGAGTTCAGCCAGATGGCAGAGAGTGACAGCAAAGGCCTCAGTGTTGTTCTGCTGCACACCAAAGTTCACTGGCTCCAGACTGTTCATGTTCAACAGGAGCTGAGCCTGCTGCCGTGCCATAGTGCTACAGAGAACACAAATAAATTTAGCTTAAACTACATCAAACCTGAAAAACTGTATGAACTGTGGAATTGATATATTTCTCATATTTCATGAATAGGTGTTCATTTAAAACATTTAAACAAGAGAAGGTATCAAAAATCTGTGTTATCTGACCTTTTTCCATACATCCTCCATATAGAGGTGGTCTGTGCCAGGCTGATTTCTATCAGCTCAGAGAGGCTTTGCTTCCAGTGCATGATGTCGGTTCCTCGCAGGGCGTCCAGCAGCTTGTTGGCCGGCATGCCTTGTTTTGCTCCCTGCTGGACCAGAGACTGAATGCCTAGAGAAGCCAAATACTGCAAAACACAACAGGGAGTGTTAATTATTTACTTCATGTAGGGCTGCACAATTAATCGAATTTCTAATCGTGATTACAATTATGGATGCCACAATTACGTAATGGTTTATTAAGTCGCAATTAATTGTTCAAAGTCCACTTATGTTATTCTGCGTGCTTAAAATGCGTTTTTTTCTTTCTACATGTTATCTTAAGGGTTTTTCCCATTATTTTAATTTTAGTTTTAGTATAACATTATAATACCATTCATATTTTTACTTTTTTATAATTTAAAGAAGAAACCAATCCGATGTATATTTGACATTTGAGGCTTAATACTATAGAAAAGCACTAAAAGTTTTTCAGTTAGTGTTTTCAGCTTGTTTATTTTTATATAAAAATACGGCATGAAGCTGCATCAAACAATGGTATAAACATCATTCAATGTAAATTGTGATAATCGTAATTAATAATCGCAATTACAATTTCAAGGGAATAATCGACAATTATGATTTTTGTCATAATCGTGCAGCCCTAACTTCATGGTATAATGACCTTGCGAGAGATTAATATGCACTGGTTTAATGTGCCAGGTACCATTTTTTATTGTCTTCTTGTTTCACATTCACATATGATTTGGGAAAGAAGACATCGCAACGAGTTTAAAAGGGGTTTACATTTTAAATAGTTACTTACAGGGAGACAAAAGTGAGCTGCAATTTTCACAGAGTCTTCAGTTAATACCACACTATCAGATCCTTTCATCTGTTCCAGTGTGTAGAGCCAACTCTAAAACCCAGAAAAAAAAAGAAAAATTCAGAATAAAGGACAATCTGTCTAATATATATATATAGGACATACATAATAGGGATGCATAGTAACAAAAGTTTTCAGTATCAGTTATTTTTAACTGGTCATGCTGCTCATATCCCCTCTTCTTATATTTAGATTTCCAGTACCTTTGCTGTCATCTAATGCTCAATTAAAGTGTAATTTAATTTCATTTAATAACTTAAAAACGCTGCTAAACATATAATTGTATATTAAATATTTCATTTAAATACACAATTTTACATACTTTACATTATACTGCTGTGATTCACTTGTCACATTTTAAACAACTGATTTTAGTGTTTTATTTTAAATTTATTTAGACAACTGTACAGAAATTGAATACTGACCATTTACTGGTTACTGGTTTACTGGCCATGAAAATAATTATCAGCTTATCAGTATCAGCCCGAATTTTAATACTGATGCATCCTTACTGCGTATATTAATGATGAAAAAGAACAGAGAAACTGCTCCTACCAGACAGTGTTGAAGACACACGTGGTCATTTGCTTCCTGTGCAATGCGGATTGATTCCTGCAGAGCCAAATCAGCCTGTTGACTGCACAAACACAAGCACAGAAAGCAGTTACACTGATATAATGACAGAAATGTTCAGTTTAGAAACTAAGATTCTGTCTGCTCCCTTTATTGCAGCAAAAATTAATGCACTAATACGCACTAGTGTCCGAAGCGACAGTGCAAGGTTGCCAGATTCAGGACAGCGTAGCGCAAACTGCGGCCATAGCCTTCATCTCCGTTGCTCTTCCCCTCTCCACCAGAAAGAATGAGGCGGTCAAAGTAGTGCAGGAGGCTGTGAGTGGAGATGTAGATATCCTGCACTCGCATGCTGTTCAGATAGCTGAGGTAATGCTGTGGAGAAACAGAGAGAGGCTCAGTTAACAGATTAATCATCTGGTTCTTGAAAGGAAGGAATGCAGTTTACAGCTTCAGCAAAGTCAGGATTGAATTTGAGAATGTTGTTAAGCTCGTCCTGTAGCTTAGCTGGTGACATGGCCTTGTTTTCATCGTTCTTAAGGAGGTATGCCTGAGAAAAAAAAACATGGTGACAATTAAATGGTGTAAAACGTGTTAATGAAAGTCAAGTCTCTTATAAGTTATAACAAACCAGGGTCAGAAATATTGGGAGTTTGGGGCAAAAATGCCACCAAAATGAACAAAAATGGCCCCCAAATTCAAGATACTGGGGCAAAAAATGCACCTGCACAATAAACTAGATTGATTATGACAACACAGTCACATTTAATAAGGTAATTATAAAAATTGCCCTTACGAAGGTAAAAAAAAAAAAAAAAAAAAGCCCCTGGAAATCATTAACAGGGTGCAAATATTACCCTTAATGGAAAAGATAATTCCTGACTCTGTAACAAACCTGTCGTGCAAGGAAGTATTCTGCTTGTTTCTGAGATAAAGGACCCCGGGTCTCATCAGATCTGATGAAAACAGAAAAAAAAAACATTTATGTCCATTCCTATTTAATTAATACAGCCCTGATTGCACTAATAACACAAGTAACACGTTATTCCTCTGACCTCAGCTCGGACTGGTGTAAAGATGCTGTGTCCAGCTCGTCTTTGTCTATGCGGTCAGCGCTGGGATCCTCATTGCTCGTCAGCTCCATGTCTTCAGCGGAGAGTTCGGGCTGATTGCCACGACGGCAGTACTGCTGCAGGGACTTGTACAGCTTATACACCTGACTGAAGGACAGTTTATTGTAGGCCAGCAGCATCTGACGCATGAACAGACCTAGAAACACAGAGAGAAAGTTATCAAGAATTCAGTTCCGTGGTCTTAAAAAAAAAAAGTTATTCTTAACTACTATATTCATATTGTAACATTTATTATAATTAAAGATATTTTGCCTTTCCAAAATACTCCTTAAAATTGTTCTTCTTTTAACCTCACACATTTTACATTATGAGATTTTTTCTACTTAAAAATGGGTTAATGGACAAATATATTAAGGTTTAAAATTTAAAATCTCATAAAACAATGCTAAAGAAAATATTGCATAATTTAGAACAACTAGTAAAACTTCCTAGACTTTTTTCTTAAGATTTTCATCTGGCCACAGAACTCTAAAATTGGGCAATATTTGATAGGAATGGTGGTTATGGCCCTGAAAGAAACACATATTCTTACCAACAACACTAGTTTTGAAGGCCTCTGAGTCACTGAAAGCATTGGGCAGCATGGTAAAAAAGTGCTCCATATCCTGCAATTCTCCATCAGCCATTAAAAACAACCTGAAAAACAGAAGGCATTGGTTTATTTATAAAATATTCATAAAATAAAATCTGACCAAAGCTGAACAGTTCTTTATTAACAGAGACACATACCTGAGTTTCACAGCATTGACCATGCGAAGACAGCACTCCTCTACTATCTTCAGAAACTGCTCTAGAGTCAAATCTGGACCCTGGTCATCACAAACAGAAATCAAACATGTGCACATATATTTTCATCTAGAAAAACACACCACATGTGTGTGTACCCCTGTAAAAATGAAGTGTGCTTAATTGCATTGAATGTGAAGTCGGAACTGTTGTGTGTTATTTAATATTACATTTCAAGTAAATACATTTTAAATGTACTACATTGCAACTTCATCATTACAAATGTATAACACAAATATATTTAAATATAGAAATAGAAAAGTAGTTAACATAAATGCTTGTAAATACATGCAGCAATACACTTTAAAAATACAGAACAAGACAAAACACCAAAGCAATTATGAATATTACATATATTTCTATGCATAAATATTAAAGACGTCAAAAAGCACTCCTTTAACGACCAAGTATTATAAAGTATACTTTTCACATGCTAAGCACAAACATGCTACATAACGTTACCTGTTGTATAGGTAGGATGAGTTTGTTCAGGCGTCTTCTGTCTAGAAGCGCCATTGGTTTGGTTGTGGACATCTCATAGAGTAAAGATAATACTGCGATCTTGTATGGAGTCACCCAGTCCTTTATACTGAAGACATTGGCATGAACAACCCCATTTGTCATCATGGGGTTGAAATACAAACTTTCATGCACACTGGCCATGGCCTCTCTGGACTTATATTCCTCAAGATACAGCAAAAGGAAGTATATCGGTGCAGTAAATTCTATAATTTCATAACGACAATAACTACGCTGTTATAGCATAAGATAAAATAATCTAGCCTACATTATACTGATAATATGATAAAACATAAATGGCGTTTCAGGTACAATAATGGCAATTTGAAACCGTTCATACATGTGGAAATCTATAATAATAGCCACTATGTTTGATGCGTTAGGTTAGTAATCATAATGAACATATTCATATGGATCATTTGCTAACAACCTTCTTCTTCTTCTTCTGTGGCTTTATTGGCGGGTCGCATACCAGCTTTTAAGGTGCATACCGCCACCTACTGTGCTGGAGTGTGAAGTGATTTCAGTCTAGGTATATATTATGAATTCTATATGCTATTCTCAAGTCCACTATTCCTAATGAATTTTATAATTGTCTTTATTATTTTACCACATCCTTGTTTTGTGTTTAATATGTTCTTTTTTTGTAAAAAACTTTGCTAACAACCTGACCGAGACGTTTCTTCAAAATACCCTCCAGTTCCGTTTGCGTTTCAGGGCGCGGTGTGGAGCACAGACGAATCGATTGTGTTTTAGTGCGGTTCAG